GCCACCGCCGCCCGCCGCGCCGCGGGCGAGGGCCGGCCGGTTCCGGATGGGACCGCCGCCCCGACTCACTCGCGCGGCGGCCTGTACTCCGCCGCCGCGGCCTCCCTGTGAGCCAGCCCGGCCGCGGCCCCGGCCCCCGCCGCGGCCGCCTCGCTGGCTCCGGTTCAGCTTAATGATGTCGTCCAGAGACATGTCCATTTTGTCGGCCATGGCGGGCGCGGAATCGGCCTCGGCTCGAGCCCGCGCGTCAGCACGCCGGAGCGTCACTTCCGGTGCCGCGCGAGGCCTTCCGGTGCCGCGTCCTCGGAGCGGCCGCCGATTGGCTGCGGGCAGGCGGAGGCGGTGGGGTCGGGGCGGCGCGTGCGCACTGGGACGCGGGGTTCAGCGGGCTCCGCTACTAGGTGCCGGGCCGCCGCCGCGATAGTTTTTGTAGCTTCCCGCGCGGGCGCCGGCGCTGCCAACTGAAGGCGGGCGGAGCTGCGCGCGATTAAGTCCGCTCGGGCGCAGGGGCGGGGCGGAGCAGGGCTCGCCGCCCCTCCCCTCAGGCGACTGCGGCTGGGTGGTGGTTTCCCGCGTGAACTCACAGCAAGCGAGGTTTGAGATTCCGTCCGTCACCCCCAAGCCAGTCAGGTCCTTCGAGGAGTGCTGTCTGGCGTTTGGGCAGTTATTCACGAAAGCCAGCGCTCCCTTTGGCGGGTCTTTGCAGATGCCCTGAGTGCGTGGCGAGCATCCGGGGCCCCTGGTCCTCCCACGGGCGACCCCTTTAGCCGATCCTGCTCCTCTCGGCGGCTAAAGGCGTTTCTCAGGGCGGACCCTCGGCCACGGGCAGCCTCCCTTGTTTGGTGCCTAAATGCTGTCGCTCTGCAGACTGAGGGCAGCAGGTGGTTTCTTCCCTCGCCCGCAGGCTCCACCGTCATGAAGGTGAAGATTAAGTGCTGGAACGGCGTGGCCACTTGGCTCTGGGTGGCCAACGACGAGAATTGCGGCATCTGCCGGATGGCCTTTAATGGCTGCTGCCCGGACTGTGAGTGTCCCCTGTGCTCGCTGTCTCTTGAGCTCTGTTTACTCGCCTGGCATGCTGTCTCCCCCAGAAATACCTGCACAAAGTCCCAGGGTTTTGGTTTCCCTTTTCTCAAGAAAAGCTGGCAGAGAAAAGGCAGGCGGTTTGGGCCCCATATTTGTATAAAGACGCCATCAAAAGCTTTGTAAGGAAAAGTAGTGCAGCCTTTTATCGTGATCAAACTGGGCTGGGAAACTCATGGGACAAAGAGATACGTTAAAACTTTTTATTTGAAAATCCTCGAACAAAAAAAGGAGTATTAACAATAGAAGGGTACTCCCTCCATCGAGCACATGGATTAACAGTGAAGAACGTTTCCATATTCTCCACTTGTCCCCAGATGTCTTCTTCCTGGGTGGTCTGAACCAGGACTCCCCATTTGATGACTCTGCTCCTTAGCTATTTAGAACAGCCCTTCCACACCCCTTTCTCCCCTTTTAAGACATCTGACTCCGTTAGGAAGCCCATGTGTTACCTTGCAAAGTGCCTACCATCAAGTTTTGTCGGATTTCTTCTTTGTGATGAGTTTTGCTCCGTTCCTTAGTCCCCAGGATGTTCTGCGAAGTAGAAATGTTTGATAATGCATTTAGGTCAAAAGCAGCTTTTTGCACCAATAAATTGAGTTTTTAGTCAGACTCAAGTGAACCCAAAGCAGAAGCAAGGGTCAAGGCTTGGCCTAGGGGACAAGGGTGGTCCCAGGAGGAAAGTGGGGCTTGGGGACTGCTGAGGAGTTCCTCACTGCCCTGTGAATGACTAGCCTTTTTTGTGGGGCTAGGTGAGTGCCCAGAACAATAACAGTGCTTTGCTTCTTGCAGTGAAATGTAAACCATTGACTTATTGACTTCTAGTGCAAATACTATTTTATTCCAGGCTTAGTCTATTTTTTTTTTAATTAAAGTTTATTGGGGTGACAATTGTTAGCAAAGTTACATATTGTAGATTACAGGTGTACAATTCTGTAATACATCATCTATATATCACATTGTGTGTTTACCACCCAGAGTCAGTTCTCCTTCCATCACCATATACCATATTTTCCCATGTATAAGACGCACCCTTTTTCGAAAAATTTGGGGTCTAAAAACTGGGTGCGTCTTATATAGTGGTTGTAGAATTTTTTTTTAATGAAATACACATTTTTTAGAATTAGTTTCAGCTGTAAGTTGTAGATTTTTTAACTTGCATTTCCCACAAGTGATGAGGAGTTGTATGAATTTTACGATGAATAAAACTTGAGTTCAATAACTTAATCTAATACATTTTTTTTCAAATTTCGGGCCCCAAAATTAAGGTGCGTCTTACACATGGAAGAGTCTTATACATGGGGAAATACGGTATTTGATCCCCTTTACCCTCATCTACCCCACCCCCACCTGAATCTATATCTCTCTTGGCTGAAAGGCAATCTCATTACCCAGGAATCAATCCATCCTGATCCAATCAAATGGGTGGGACTTAATCTTAGGAAGTCATTGATTGGCTCTACTTGATCAGACTTTATTTAGAACAGCAATGCACAGGGTTTGGTTTTATTTAATTTAAAAAAAAAATTTTTTTTAGCTGAGCCATCCTGCCACCTGTTGGCAGCTCAGCCCGCAGCTCAGCTCGGGCCTGAATCCAACCAGTGACCCTGTTGCTCAGAGCTCACACTCTTGAGTGATATTTAATCTATTTTAAATTGCCCTTCCTAAATACCCCAGAGGCAGTGGGTGCCTGAAGGGGCAAATCCTTGCAACTTTCTAAGCAACAGATTGTTACTTTCTGAAAAGGCCTCAAAAGCATTTTTGTGGCCATACCCTTGGGCAATATGAGCCAGTGAGCCTGTGTAAAGATGGCACCAGTGGGCCCACCCAACCTGCAGAGCCTGCCAGTACGATTCCACCTGGGCCTGTGGCTGGACATCGCCACATGTGGGCGTGCCATCTGCGAGAGGAAGGGTTCAGAGTTTGAGCCTTGGACCTTGTGGAGCGAGCCAGTTGTAAAGTTCACGGCACCTGACAAGCGATCTTGATTCTGTACAAGCGATTCTGTACAGATAAGGTGGTGCTGGGTTTCTGTGGCTGAAGTGGAACCCCTGCAGGGAACGACAGCCTGAGGCTGTGCTAAACCCTCTCAGTGTTGTAGAGGGATCTGGGAGTGTCTTGTTGAGAGGTGTTGTAACTCAAAAGGACTTCCATCAAGACACTCGCAGGCCCTTGGGGTCACTGACCTTGTGCCTGTGTGCTCGTTACGTGCCCCAGGCATGTTCTGTCCACATGCTCTGCAGCAGTGGCTGGGTGGCTGGGTGCCCCACCAGGGGGCTAGCAGGCTCCTGCTCATGGTTTTCCCTCCTCTATTTGTAAGGGACTCTAATTTCTATAGGGTGCTTCCAAGGGGTGTTCTTTCTATTGAGGTTGGAAAGGCTGGGGACCGGGGGTGTCCAGGTGGGGGGAACTAATCTAGATCAGGTGTTACACCATGTGGGCTCCTGGCACAGGCTTGGGAAGTAGAATGACTTATTACATATTTTGTATTTGCTGAGCACATAATTTTCTGGTGGTTTTGTCATAAAAGCTCAGGAAGGGAGGGACATTTTTGTTATAGAAAGTTTTTTTTAAAAAAAGGTTGAGAACCACTGCTCTTAACAAGTGAATGAGAAGATGGAGGGATGGCCACTGTCCCTCGTGACTCGGGGGATGGCTGTGCCGTGCGGGCAGGGAGCCGTGTGTGCTCAGGAGCCCACGTGTGTCCCTGACCCAGCACCCACTCTGGCCGCCTGTCTGAGATGGGGTAATGCCGAGGCTGCGGAGTGTTGTGAGGCTGGATGAGTGTCCAGGCCGGGTTCCCAGCCCATTGTTGTGTTCGAGCAGCTGCTAAGTGGGGTTTCCAGAGCATCGTTTTGTGGCTTGGCCGTGCTGTTATTTCTTTAACATGCTGCAGGATCAAACACCCCATGTCTGGTGTCAAGAGTGGCGGCCAGGCCTGGCTCTGTGGTCACAGGTCCAAAGGCAGTTCTGTCCTCTGCACCTAGAACATGTGTTGCAGATGGAGCTGCTGCCCGGACAAGACGTCCCTGCTCACCAGGCCTGGCTTGTTTCTGAGGTCCCTCGTGTCTGTGCAGCAGTGACACCTGGATACAACTAGCGCTGGAGAAGTGTAGAGGGCCCCGAGGCAGTGATGTGGGGAAAGGCACCCCGGGATACGGTGGAGGCAGTGAGCTTCAGCTCCTGGATGTCCTTGGGGACCCTGCCCTGGGACTTGGGGAGCTCACTGTGTGCTGCTGGCCCAGCTGACTGACAGGGTGTTTTGGAATCTGGGCGCGGCAGTGTGGAGTGTCCTCTCCGTGGACATAGCACTCCCAGGTGCTGGCAGCATGTGCTTGGGCCTTGGAGGTTGGACCCTTTCAGGCTAGAAACGGAAGAGAGCTGGAAGGTAGTGCCATGCCTGCTCCGAGCGTGTAACAGGCCAGGCCATAAACACCAGTGTCCCAGCCCACTCCTGTGTCCTGCCCCCTGTAGAAGGAACCTTGTTGGTCCCGAGGCCCCAGCCCTCTTAGCCCTCGTGCTCTTGATCAGAGGGATAGTCCTCCTCAGATGTGCGTGTCCTCAGCGGGTGCCTCGACTGTGACAGTGCAGCTTTCTTGGCATCCCAGGTCAAGTGGCCCAGCTGGAGTGTGTCTGCCGATGGGCCCAGGCCTTAGTAGGCCAGCACTCCTGCCACTGAGCCCCTGAGCTGCTCCACCTGGGGGGTCCATGCAGATCCTGGGGGTGGCCTTGCAGCAGTTGTGATACTCCTGAGATCTCTTCCCTGAGAGGCCTCAGCCAGCCTTGGTGCCGATGCCTAACGTCCCGGGGTCCCGTGCTCTGTGTGACCCCCTCGTCATCCCTGTCCCCTGTGCAGGCAAGGTGCCAGGCGACGACTGCCCGCTGGTGTGGGGCCAGTGCTCACACTGCTTCCATATGCACTGCATCCTCAAGTGGCTCAACGCACAGCAGGTCCAGCAGCACTGCCCCATGTGCAGGCAGGAGTGGAAGTTCAAGGAGTAAGCCGCCCCTGCACAGGGCCGTCCCTGGGCGAAGACAGGGTGAGATGAGGACTGGAGCTGCGTTGTCCCTGCCACCGCAGCGCTGACACTTTTATCCAATAAAAAAAGCTCATTAAACCGCCTGCGCCTCGCCGGAGGCCTCTGGTTGCCTGTTGTCTTGGCGCTGACGTGGCCTCCGTGTGCTGTGCGTTGATATGAAAAGTCATGAATAAACATCTCTGCAGTATAGCTGAGGTCCTGAGTCATTCTGGGAGGAAAAGGAGCACAGGCTCAGCCGGAAGACCCTGGGGCAGGAGTGCTGGCCCTGCAAAGGCCCTGGGGTATGTTCATGTCAACGGGGCAGTGAAGGCAACGTGGTGCAGAGGCCCATGGCCCATCAGCCAGCTTCTCACCTGATGGAAGGCAGGCGGGGGCCCTGGGGACCGCCCCTCAGGCTGGTCTGTGGGACCCTGGCTGGACGTGGCGGGCAGCCACTGCCTGCAGCCCCTCCTGCCAGAAGGCCGTCCCGCAGCAGGTGCTGGTCGAGGTGGGACTGGCTGTGAGGATGCCATGGCAGTCGGTCACAGTCCCTTCTTTCCTCAAACAAGGTCAGCGAAGGGGCCAGTGTCCTTGACATCAAGCTGTGTGACCCCAGGTGTCAGGGCCTCCCCCACCTAGGGAAGGACAGCCCTTGGGAGGCTCCCTTGGGCTCCTTTGCCCCTCCACAGCCCCTGGGTGTGGGGGGGAGGGCAACAGTCTCAGCCCCAGGAATCGGGCAGGCAGCTTCTGGGGGGGACTGCTGTAGGCTGCGTGTTCATTCTCCATGACCCCCTCGGGGTTGCTGCCCTGTGCTCCATAGTCATCGCTTCTGTCTGCCTGTCCTGAGCCCCCAGGAGAGAAGGCAGGACGGCTCACTCAGAGGGCGGGCCTCACCTCCCGCCCGGACATAGTACCCAGAGGAGAGGAGGCTCTGGGACCATCGCCCTCTCGGAAGGTGCCCCTTGGCCAGAAACCCAGCTGCAGGGTCCCTGCACTGGTTGCTATCCTGGGAAGTACACACCCAAAGGAAGACACGTGACCAGGACATACGGGGAGCATGAGGGGCGCCTGAGTGAGCCTAATGGCCACTGTCACCTGCTGGGGGGCAGCTGGCGGCCCTGCCTGGTGCCCTCCCGGGCCCTGGGATCTGGGCGGCCACTCTTCTCAGAGCCTCTCTGTTTACAGTGTGTCCAGATCTGGGGAGTCACAAGGGGTTCAGGAGAGGGAGGTAGGCTGGGGCTCCAGCCGAGGACCCCACTGGGCGGCCTGCGGCTTTCTGACCTCTTCCTGGCCTGCCCCCTGCACTTGGGGAGTTCTCTCCTGTGACAGGAAGTACCCACAGGGACCCAGCCTCCCAGGCGTTCACTCACCCATTGGGATAGGTGCTCAGCCCAGAGGGGTTCCCAGCCTGCCCCAGGTCACAGCATCCTCTTGGGGGGCAACCCCCACTTCCTGCACTGGGACTCCTCAGAACTGTTTTCTTTGTTCCAGCCTGGTCTCGGGGCCACCTTGAGCTGGACACAATTGCCCACCAGGCCCTATACACACCCAGACTCCAGCCAGGTACGTTCTTCCAGGAAGCGCAGGACCCCATACCCTCAGCCTGCTCTCCCTCCCCAGAGGACGGGGTCACACCACCCCCGCCCTTGCAGACCTCCCCCCTGGCCTCCCCTCGTCCCCCAGTGAGCCATCCTGCCTACCCTGCCACCAGCTCCGTTCTCCCACCCAGCTGTGGCTTCAGTCGGGGACTGGGTCCAGTGCATCTCCTGGGTGCTGGAACATAGTGGATGTTTAACAACAGCTTCCGCAGGGCAGTGACATGTCTCCTTCCCTGAGGCCAGCCCCAGAGTGTGTGGACCAGTGTTTGGGGTGAATGCGGACAAGGCCCCAAGTTCCTGAGGCCATCCATCCCAGGGACCTCGGATCTCCTGGGCCACCCCTTGACCCAGTTTCTAGAGGTTGGGCCTGGCTTTGCACCCCCCCCCCCAGCAGCAGCCCTGTTGATAGAACCTTCCCCCTTGGGTGTGAAACACCGAGGCCCTTAGGCCAGCCCAGATTGATTGTTCTCGAGAAGCCCTGGTCTTGAGGTCAGCTCCCCTTTGGAGCAGGAAAAATTGTCCCCTGGGCACAGTATAGTCAGTGGCTCTCTCTCCAGCCTCATGAGCCCTGAGGACCTCTGAGGGGTGACTCTTAGGGCTGGGGCACCCTCAGATTGGTTGAGGGTTCAGTGCAGCCCCACTTGCCTCTCCTCTGAGGCCCCACGGTACCCGGCCACGAGCAGTGGAAGCAGCCCGGGCGCCCCCTCATTAGCAGCAGGCAGGGCTGGAGACAGGACGTCTGGCAGGGGTGGGAAGGGCGGGGCGACCGGCCCCCATCAAGCGCTGGACTCACCTGCGCCTCCAGCCACGGTCTGCGCCTGCCTGCCTGCCTGCCTGCCTGCCGGCCGAGGAAGCCGACGATCCGCAGCGCCGCCCCCGCGCCCCTCACGCCCGCCCCGCCCCGCCCCATCCCCACCGCAGATATAAGGCGCCCCGGCTGCCGCAGCCCGGAGCCCCGACGCCCATGCTGTCCCGTCCTCATGGCCCGACCTGCGCCGCTCGCCGCTGCCGCCCTGGCACTGTGCCTGCTGCTGGCGCCGCCCGCCCTCGCGTGGTACAAGCAGGCGGCAGGGCCCAGCTCGTACTCGGTGGGCCGCGCCGCGGGGCTGCTGTCCGGCTTCCGCGGGTACCAGTACGCGCGGCGCTCCGAGCCCCCCGTGGGCGCGGGACCCTCGGGCCGGGCCGGCGCCTTCCCAAAGCTGCGCCCCAGCCTGCGGAGCCCAGTGAGTGCGGGCGACGGGGATGCGGGGCACTGGAAAGTGGGATGGGGGTGCGAGCATTTGGGGGCGAGGTAGGATGAGGGGCAGAGGGGTGCGGAAGGGTGGGAAAGGGCACAGGCAGTGGGGGGTGCAGAGCGGGGTGAGGAACGGGGCGCGCGGGCTGCCCCTCAGCGTCCTCCTGCCTGCAGACTGTCTGCGTCAAGGACATCACCCCCAACCTGCACAGCTGCCAACGGCTCCCCGACGGACGAGCCACCTTCCAGTGCAAGGCAGACGTCTTCTTGTCGCTCCGCGCAGCGGACTGTCGCAGCGCCTGAGGCACCACCTGATACCTGGACGTCGCTTGTCTCCTGCGGGTATCCCTGCAGCCCACAGCTCAGCCCAGGCCCCCCCAGGCCCCAGGGCTCGAGATGGCGCCCAGGGCTGCATACCCCATCTCCATCGTAAATGGCTAGATGAATAAATGACTAGTGCTGCGGGCCTCAGAGTGTGGGCGCTGCTGGAGGGGGGCAGGGCCCTGTCAGTCTCTAAACCAACCCTGTCCCCAAACCACAGGGCCTGGCCCCTACCAGGTCCTGGGGCTTTCCTGAAACACCCTGTACAGGAGCACCCCGAACCCCACTGCTCCAGAAATGCTGCTGTGAACATTCTGTGGCCCCCACCCTCTCGGCCAGAGGCTGCTCTCCAAGTCTGACCTCTCCAGTCCTGTCCCTTGTCACCCATACCTCCTTGCCTTTGCCCCCCACTAGCCATAAGGTTACTCAGCCAGCTCCAATGTCCCTCTACAGAAGACCCCCTAACCACCCCACCCAGGTGGCCCGAATCCGGGTTTCTTGAGGCCAAAGCTCTTCCCGACTAGAGGGGCAGCTCCTTGGGCAGCCCCCGCCCCAGTACCTCAAAATACTGCGCACAAACCAATGCATGGGGTGTGCCGCCCAATGAGCCAGCTGGCCCGGGGAGGAGGGGCGGCCAGTCGTGCAGTTCCAAGGTGAGCAGGGGCTGCCCAGAGGCCCTCCTGCCCACACAGGGCTGGGTGCCCCTGGTGCCGAGCAGCTGGCCTGCGGGGAGCTCTGTTCATCCCTCCCCACAGCTCTGGTGCTGCCCAGCCTAGAGGCTTCGGAGCACCGGCCCCCACTCAGGTTAACTACTGCCGCCCTTGCCCCACCCCACTCAGGCCGACGCTGAGTTCCCTTCTGAGCATGAGCTGGGGGCTCTGGCAAGTGGCTAAGCGGGGCCGGAGCCTTGGTCCCAGAGGTCCCAGGCCTGTCTTGTGGGGTGTCCCCCCACCCCATGGAGCATGAGGCCAGCTGGGCCTCCGGGGGCCCCCTGCTCAGAGGCCGTGGGTGGCACCCACGATTGCTTTGCACCTGGGTAGATGCGTCTCCAGGGGCGATGACCTCCCAGACCCCCAGGTCCTGCTCCTCCACCTGTGGCCCAGCCAGGGCTCACTGGCCGCTGCTTTGGGGCAGTCCCTACCTCAGGGTGCCACCCAGCAGGCCTAGGGCTGACTAGCATCACGAGCCTCGGCTGCTCCCCGTCCCCCCCATCTGAGTCTACAGGGGACTGGCTGGTCCCTCAGCTCAGGGACCAGTGTGGGCAGGTCCTGTAGCACAGGCCTGAGGTTGGAGAGCCCAGATAGAGTGAGGTGCACAGAGGGCCCTGTGCCTTAGCAGTGCCCCCAACTTTGGAGGGAGGGCAGGAAAGTGGGTGGTGGCTGCCCACATGCGGATGTGCGTGATGTGAACTTTCATGGTCACCTTGCTTCACTTGCCCACAAGGGGCTCTCAGTTAAACCTCCAGAATGGCAAAACCAAAAGACAGGCCAGGCCCACCTCATACTAGAGAGAACGCTGGCCCTGGGCTCCCGTGGGGCCCGGCTTGCAGGTGCCCCCGACCCAGGAGCTGAAGGGCACAGACTATTCTGGAGGGAAGGAGGGGCTGACAAACACCATCACAATCCTCACTTCTGAACAGACCCCAACCAAGCCACTGCCTGCCCCACCCCTCAGGGGGCGGGGTCCCCGCCGTGCAGCTGCGGGTGCTCCAAGTAGGCTGACTTCCATGCCGGAGGGAGACCCTGAGAGTCACTGGGCCCCAGTGGAGAGCCCGGTCCGGTTCTGTGCAGAACTGTGGGGACTGAGCCTCTCACCTTCCCGATGACAGACCCTGCCTGGCTGCTGCCCTCCCTTCTGGGTTTCCTGGTCCCGTCCAGCAGGGGTGACAGCCTGACACAGAGTGCCTCCCACCAGGTTTATTTGGTTGTACACCAGCCAGTTACACACAAAATCAAGAAGACTGTGTGGGTAGAGCAGGAGGCTGGCCTGGGCACGGGGGCGCAGGGTCCTGGAGCCAGGCCCTGGGGCACCAGGGACACACCGTGGGGCAGAGGGTGCCTGTGCAGGAGGCAGCCTGGTCTGCACCGAGGAGGAAATGCAGTGGCCTTTGAGTCAGTTTCCCTGAAGTGGGCTCCCACCGAGCTGGACGGGCAGGAAGTGCCACTCAGTGCCAGGCGGCAGGGGGTGTCCTGGTCTGGAGGAGCCGTCCAGGAGGCAGAATGAGGGAGCAGCAATGGGGCCAGGATGGAAGCGGGGCCTTCCCTGGCACACATTGCAGCACCCCTTGCTCGGAGATGCCCTCTGCTCGCCCTGCCCGCTGGGCTGCTCCAGTGCAGGACTCCTGTGCAGCTTGGCGGGAAGGGCGTGAGGGCTGCAAGCCGGGTGCCTTGTGGGCAGGGGGTAGGAGACGGGGTACTCCACGCCAGTCCTTCCAAGACCAGGCCGATTAGAGGGGGGACGCCGCAGCTCTGTCCAAAACTATGTGAGCCGAACTCTGGACCCACACGTGGGAAACAGAGCAGGGAGGGCAGCACTCCAGGTCTCCCGCTGATTGGCCCCCTCCGTTGGAAGTCAGAAGTCATAGTCGCTTTCCCCCTGGGGCTGCGACTCCTGCTGCCTCATGGCCTCCAGGAAGGCCAGCTCCTTGGCCTCTTTCTTCTGGTTCCGGGCCTCGTACTCCAGCCTGGGGAGCAGGGGGGCGGTGAGCTGTGCGCCCCATCCGGGGCCTCAGCTCCGCGTGCCCCACCTGTTTTTTTTTTTTTTTTTTTAGCTGAGCCATCCAGCCACCTGTTGGCAGCTCAGCTTAGGCCGGGAATCGAACTGGCAACCCTGTTGCTCAGCGCTCACACTCTTGAGCGAGCTCGTAACCAGCGGAGCCGCGCGGCCGGGCCACTCCTCACCTGTTCTTGATGATACGCTGCACGATGAGGTCCGTGGTGAGGTCGTTCCTGCTGTCGATCTGACAGAAGATGCCCCTTCTCTTGGGCTCCTGGAGGCCAGGAGGAGGGGGAAATGAGCGCGCTCCTCTGGTCCCCAAGGAGACTGCCTGGCTGCCCGGGCCCATTGGGTCCCCACCCCGGTGCGTGGGGCAGTTACTCCCACGTGTTAGCAGCTGCCTCCTGACAGCATTCCCCAGACAGGTGCCAGGGGCTCAGCCCATGCTCACCTGGTACGGGTCAGAGCCGTCCTTGTCAGGCACGATTTCCGTCTTCCCGTGACACACCAGGTCCACCTGCAGAGAGAGCAGGGGTCAAGGAGCCCTCCCAGCACCCCACGTGGGCCCCCTAGGGAGGCAGCCACAGCCACTGTCCACTGCCTGGCCTCTGCCTCAGCACAGTCCTCCCAGGGTCCCAGCCCACCGGGAGCCTCACCTTGAAGTGGTCCAGGAGCTCTGCTGTGACCGAGTATGGGGCCCCAATCACCACTTCCGACACGTACTGTGGGAACAGGGAACACAGCTGGTTAGCCAGGACCCCACGAGGCTGGACGGTGGTGGGACATGAGCCTAAATGCCAGCCGACGCTGCCGGTGCGCAAAAGGGACTCGGGAGGCATCATAGGGGGCCGGCTGTCCCCTTCCCGCTCCGCCCTGCCCGCCTGGCTGGCCCAGCGCTCACCCGGCAGGCCAGCACGCTCAGGGTTCGCTCGTGCAGGTTCATGATGGGGTAGTTCTTTCCCTTGTAGTGATTGACCTCCTAAGGCCAGAGTGGGGACAGTTCAGCAGGTGCCCTTCCAGCAATTCTTCGTGGGGCCCCCGCCAGCATGGGAAAGCCCCGGACGGTACAAGCCTGCCCCAGGAAGAGGCTGCAGCTCGTCTCCTCTGCCTCCGTCAGCATCCAGGGCTTGCCCCCACAGGCCGCCTGTGCCCACCCTCAACCTGAGGAGCCCCTGAGGTCCCCACGATCAGCTGCCCGGGGAGGGGGCGAGACCTGGTCAAAGTGTAAGCCAGCGATGACGTAGGGCCTCTCTGTCAGGCCGTGCACCTTTTCCAGGAAATCCACGTGCCCGATGTCTGTGCCAGGTTCAGGAGTAATAGGACAGGAGCAGCTGCTCTCCCCCGCCTGCCGTGCCTGCACCCCCACCCCCACCCCAGCCAATGGCTGTGGCCCTTCACACACCGCTGTCCAGGGGCCCCTCCAGCCCGCAGCCCACTGGGGCAGGTGTGGACACGGAGAGGAAAGGTCTGGGGCGACACCCCCAGTTCCAGAGGATACGGAACAGGTCAAAGGCGCCGGCCACGTAGATGATGGTGTCGCCCGGCTGGGGCTCCTTCCCAGAAGCAAACTGGATGATCTTCTGGGAAGTCTGCAGAAACTGGGACACCCCCGTCCAGGGGTTCCGCCCCCCCGGGCACTGTAGGCCAAGAGGGGTCTGGTCAGTGACAGGCCTTGCAGGCACATCCCTCACCTAGGCCCACGCCAGAGCCCCTTTTCTCAGCCTGGGGCTGCCTGCACAGGCCTGCCCGTCTGCTCTAGGAGGCACAGGTGTAGGACAGAGGGAGCAGGGGTGCGGCCACAGGCCTCTTCACCCCTGGCTGCAGCCTGAAAGCTCGCTCACGCACTAGTGCTGTGTCAGGGCAGGTGTCTCTGGCAGGGACACTGAGGGTTAGGTGGCAGTGCCTACCGGGTCCACACCACCGCGAGGCTGGGCGGAGCTATGGCTCCACCCTGTGGCCACAGCGGGCAGTGCAGCCACCAGCACCCTGGTCCAGCCTCTGGCAGGAGGGAGACAAGAGGACACAGCCCTCCCTCATAGGGACCCTGCATCCTGAGGCCACCGACTGGTTACCAGGGAGGAGCCTTCTGAGAAAAGTGTCTCCCTGGCAGGTGTCAGGTGAGGGGGCTAAAAAGGGAGAGAGGGCCAGGCCACCTGATTAGAGGCCTCCTGTAACAGGTGGGCAGTCCTTGCTCCGCTTCCAGGCAGCGGCCGCTGTGATCTGTCTCCTGGCCAAGCCAGGCTGTCCGTACCCGCTCAGGCCCAGTAAAGCAGCAAGCAGGGTGGCAGGTGCGGTTCGGGCGACACTCACCTTGCCAAAGCTGTCTGCGTACTCCCGGTACTCTGAGGACATCTCCTGCACAGAAGGGAAAGGGCGGGCAGGGTGGGTGCTCTCGCCTTCCCTCCCAGCAGTGTCCTCGGGCTGGGGACCTCAGAGATCCTGCCCCTATCCCTTGTCACTCACTTGGCCGCGGTGATGGGCCTTGGTCACCAGCAGCATGCGGCCAACGAGGTCCGTGGTGGACACACCCTGGGTGCGTTTGCACTCTCTGGGGACAGAGGTGGTGACAGGTGGGACGGGAGCTCTCGGTTTACCCCACCTAAGGGCAACCCAGCCCCTGGCTGTGCTGTGCACGGGCCTGCTTCTCCTCACTGCTCTCGGCTCCGACAGGAACCAGGACCACGAGGGTGGGGCAGGCCAACAACTTTTTATCAACTAAAGGAAATGATGGACAGAGGGAAAGCATCGCGTGCAGTGTTGGGCCAGCAGCGGCTCTGGGCCCCCTTCTGCCCATGGTCCAACACCAAGGTCCTGCCCCACTGTATGTTCTCTGCCAACGGACTTCCAGGCTCCACTGACCCACGCAGGAGCCGCTGGCCACACTGGCTTTTTAAGTTCAAGTTAATAAAGCAAAACTCAGCTTCCCAGTTGCATCTCCGTTCCCGTTGCCGGCCAGCCACCCGCAGCCTGCGGACACCACACAGACAGCACGCATCTCCAACGCCCCGCATTGGAGCGCCCCCCAGTGCCAATCACGGTCACGAGGAACAGAAAAAGCTTGAGGGGAGTGTCGAGCCCCACTCCTTGGAAGGGGGCCATGATGGGGCTCACCTATACCTCCCAGCCTGCTTCACTTCCTCATAGGTGTCCCGGCCGTCTACGGTCAGCGTGATGTCATCTAAGGGGTGACATGCATGCAGAAACAAAGATTGTTAACCCAAAGCCACCAAGACCTTCAGGGCCCACAACCCCCCCCCCCCAGGCCTGCCCCAGTGGCGTGGGCTCGTTTCTAGGGAAGGACCCAGAGTGTTCCCAGGTCCCCAAAGGGCCCGGTGCTCCCCAAAGCATAAAGCGGCCCAGCACCTCGATGTCTGAGCCTGAGCCCACACTGAGTGCCCAGACCTCTGGAGCCCCACCCGGCCCACTCACTGCCATGGACACAGAAGTCGCAGTTGTACTTGTCCAGTGTCTCCAGCGTGGTGACATAGGGAGCCGCTGGCACCACCTCGTCCACCCACTTGATGGCTTGCACCATCTTGTACCTCTCCTCCTGCGTGAATACTGGGGGCCCCTTGTGCTTGGAGATCTCCTCTAGGACCAGAGAAGCGGGCGAGAATGAGATGGTGACCCATGGGGGGCAGGGCCGCAGGCTCGCCAGCCCCATCTTGGCAACACCCTCTCGCACTCGAGTGGCCACCGCCCTGTCCGTGGGCCAGCAGAGCCGCTCAGGACGGGTTTGCTGGATTACCTTACGGTCCCGTCACCCAACCAGGGTTCCAGGTTGGGGGTTCCCTCTGACAACTAGGCTCTGCAGGGTCTCAGTCAGCAGGGCAGCCCCAGCTTACCATCGGTGTGCACGCCCACGATGAGGTAGTCGCCCATGGCCCGTGCCTGGCGCAGCTGGTTCGAGTGACCATAATGCACCATGTCATAGCTGTGGAGAGGGCGGGGGTCAGTCCCTGGGCCAGGCCAGGGGCAGCGAGAGGGCACAGCCTGGCTCATCTGCGGCTTAAGCCCTCTGAGAAGCAGCCACTGGGAACTGCTCCCCAGGGCCGGCTGGGCCTGGGCTTTCAGAGGAGAGGCGGGCGCTCAGCTCGTCACACCACTGGTCGGTGGGCCCAGGGCCAAATTCAGCAAGCGTGGCGGGCATCTGGCTGTGCCCAGGGACAAGGCCTGTGGATCTGTGGGCTGGAGAGCACAGGGGACTATGCTTGCCCTTAGCCGCCCTGCCCCCACTCCCCTATGCAAAGCACCACAGGTAGTCCCTTTAAGCTGTAGAAGAAACGGTGTTAATTCAGTGTTAATTCAGGGGTGGGCTAAACACTTTCCTGCCCTGAGACAGGTACAGTGGACAGTCCCTGGGGGCTAACATGAAGCCAAGTCCAGCCAGAGAGCAACGGGGCAATCGCTGGCTTTGGAAATCCTGCTTGCTCCCTGCGGCCTCAGGAAACTCAGTGACATTTGCCCTCAGGGGCCAGCAGCCGCTCCCTGTCACCTGGTTCTAGAGCCTTTATCCTCAAATCAGGCCTGGTTAAGAACGCTCAACTGAAGGCCACAGACAGCACCCACTGTGCAGCTTGGGTTCCCACGCGCGCTCTGTGCCCTGGGGAGAACCCACACACGTCTCTGCAGGCCCCGCGCTGTGCCCTGCCCGCTCTGCCTCTTCCAGCCTCACATCACCTTCTGAGTGGGCAAAGCTGTCCCTGCTTCTGCAGGTGACCCAGGCCATTGGGTGTACAGAGCCGTTCTACTCAACACCACCTGTTACCCCCATCTCAGCACGCCAGGCCCCAGCAGACACACCTGGGGTCACAGGGCTCTGGCCCTGGGGTAAGAGAAAAGGGAAGCCCAAATCCAGCAGCCAGGCCATCCCTGTGCCCATTGGATAGGCTGGGCCAAGGGTTGCAAGAAGGCAGCGTGGCACTGGGTCCAGGGTGTGTCCCAGTCACTGTGGCCTGATGGCTGCAGCCTGGCCAGGGCCAAGGTCAGAGTCTACCGACACGAAGCCAGGCTCCCTCTCCCCAAGGTGATTCAGGCACAGCCTCGAGTGCTCTCCTCTGAAGCCCTGGGCTGTGCAGGTAGAGGTGTTTCTTTCTCTACTTCGCTCAAGTAAATGTCTGAGAAAGCACGGAAAGGGGCAAGTTATCAGTTGGCAGCCCCACAAATCTTCAAACAGCCCTGGCTGTCTGGCTTGCCAGAAAAGAGGGCGGATGGGCATGGAACCCTCCTGGGGTGGGTCCAGGAGCCGGGGGCTTCCCTGGGAGTGCTGGACAGAGTCAGGCAATTCCTGCGCGCTGACACTGCCTGGACACCCAAGAGGACCTCTCTGGTCGTGTGCTGGGCGAGCTGGGGAGCCTGACACAGAGACCCCAGGAAGACATTTGGGTGCCTGGCTCCTTAAGAGGGAGGGAGGGAGCTCCTGATGGGCTGAAACGATTAAATAAACTCATCAGATGAGAGAGGCACGACCCTTGCCACCACCACACAGGAGCTGGGCGGGTCGGCCGGGCTCGTTCTGCGGCTTTACTGGCAAATGTCAAGGCAGGAGCGCCTCAGGGCAAGGCGCTTCTCTCACAACCCTCACCAAGTCCCCAGTGCCAGCCAGCAGGCCCGGCCTCCGGCGTGAGACCCCCACGATGGGCTGCCCGCGGTGGGGGCGACCCCCGGTCCTAGGAGCCCTCCGGACGCAGGCAGGCCGAGCCTGCCGCCTTATGCCCCCCTAACTCCCCGCTATTGACGGCCAATTCCGGGCCCCGGGGAAGGGCGGCTCACAGACGGGTCTCCGGCCGCAGCGCAGCAGCCCCCTGCCCGCCAACGCCCTCCGTGCTCACCAGCCGTCGCACCACACCCGCACGTCACGCCTGCCCCCTGTGACCGGCCGCTCCGCGCCGCCCAACGCCCCGTGCCCGTTTCGGATCATGTCCCCCCAGCAGCGCCGCGGCTCGGCCAGCTCCGCGACTCTGAGCTGCGGGCGCCCGCCCCCTCTGCGCACGCGCCATCACGCGGGCCTCACCAGCCGCACAGGACCAATCGCGAGCGCCACCCCGCCCGCCTGCAGCGCAGCCAATCGCGTGGGCGACCGACCCTGGCAGGACGGAGCCCCGCCCCTCCGCTCGCGGCCAATGGCGTGCACACGTCGCCCCTCCGCTCGCATCTGAAGGGGCGGGGCGGGACCACCTGGGGCCCTTTCCGCCCCACCAGCCCAGATGGGGACCCGCTCCGACAGACAGCGTCAGAAGGAGTCACTCGATGACATGGAGAAGACAGTGCAGAGATGTTTAATAACAATAAAAAGGTCTGCTGAGAGCCAAGGCTCAAATACACTGGTCTGTATTGCTGCATACCAATACAGAAAAAGGTTTCTACAAAGTGGACATTCTCAGTAAGAAGTAGAAAGAGGGTGAGGCCCCTGAGACTAGCCTGCTGAACGAGGTAAGGCAGCGTGTGCTTCCTCCTGGCCGGCCAGGCGCCAGCTATGAAATAACCCAGAGTTCTGTTCTCACAGGAAGGCGTGACTGCCACCTCTAGGAAGAGGCTGGATGGGCCAGGTGTCCTCAAAACTCAGGCCCATGCCGGGGCAACCACAGTAGTGCAAGGGGCTTCCCACAAAGACAAATGGCTAAGCGTGTCATGGTGAAAATGTCACCCCCGAGAAGTCTCACTAGACCCTGTGGGGCAGTCCTGGCTTTCTTGGTGCCACCAGCCCCTGAATGATAGTTCCAGCCATCTGCAAAGTGCCGATTGTTGTTCTGAGTCAAGCGCCAGGCTATGTCACTTTCTTCCTTTTCGTGCGTTTGGTGCAGCCCCTGCCGAACCAGCCACCTAGGATGGGGGCTGAGCTGAGTGATGCATCCCGGTCCCTGGGTAGGGGCTCCTCTCGGCTTCTGCACAGCGACTTCCGACTGTGGCTGCCTTCTTCATCAGCACGCAGGGGGGTCGCCAGGGAGAAGATGGGGTCCTGCCACCTACCGAAAAGGGAAAGCTGGGTCAGGAGTGCCTGGGAGCCTCTCGGTCACAACGCGCCCCATGACGGGAAGGCTGACTGAGGAGGTGGCCCTGCTCCCTCCCGTATCTTAGCCATGGTGGGCTTTGCTTAGTGGTAGCCTCACTATCCCTGGGCTACAGAACAGCCGTATGAGGGGTACACTCCCAGACTAGCTCGGCCCCGCCGAAGCTGTGTCCTCGTTGGAGATCGAGCAGCCGGGCACACGAAGTGGGGTGGCAGGAGCCTCAGCAGGGATGGGCCCCACCTCACTTGTATGGCCAGGGGCAGGTGAACCAGACCCTCTCCCCCGTCCCGGACTGTGACGCTTGGTGAAAGGCAAGGCCAGCTGACTACAGGCTACCGGGTGAGATATCATGTGTCGGACTGAGATGTAGAAGCACGTTACCAACTTAAGATACAGATAAGCACTGATAAGGAAAATGAGCTAAGTTAATGTAAAAAAAAAGTACAGTACACGATAGGCCCACATTACAGAACACCACAAACATAACATACAAGAATTGCCAGGCCCAGAAGGTGAAGGGATCCTTAATTCTTGAACCCTTTGATTAAAAGAAGTTATTGATTTCCCCTATAAGACCCTGAAAATTCACAGAGAGAGAAAGTGTAAACTTTTTACTCAATACATACACCACGTCTAAATTATCACAAATTCTGTATTAAGGCAGTTTAAGCTCCCCCCGTTTGCCAGCTCCCCAGACCAAGTGCACCGAAGTCTGTTTGCCCAGCACTGCCAAGCGCATGTCCCTTCAGGGACCTTCCCCTCCAGGCCATCTGAAGTAAAGGGGGACCTCCAGGCACACACCAGCAACTCCCTTTCCCCACAGGGAGGCCCATCAGCCAGCGCGCCTTGGCCAGTCCCTGCAGACGCCACCACACTGCAGTCACGCCTCAGAGCTTTCTCTGTGCTTAGCTCCTGAGCACAGACAGACACGGCCTCTTCACACAGGCAGCAGGGTGATGGGCCCACGCCCGCTCACCTGCTGTAGGGGGGTATCTCCAGGCCCAGTTCATCCATGAGAAGCTGCATGACGTCATCACATCTCCCATGGAGCTTCAGGGCAGCCCAGTCATCCTTTGGGGTCCACTGGGGACAGGGGAAGGTGAATGAGGACAGCACCTCACTCCTTCCCAAAGCCCTGTGGCCTGGGCTCTGCTCAGCCAGCCCCCCAAGGTGCATGAGTTCAGGACAGAACGTCACAGGGCCTCCTAAGGCCCAGGTCTCAGCAAGCAGCTCTGAGCGCTGAGTTACCTGTAAGTTCACGATGTAGAGCTTGGGCCGCCGGCTGGGGGGCTTGGTCATGCACCAGAGGTGCGGGTATTTCTTCAGAACCTGCGGGAGCAACGGACAGACACAGACCACACACACCAGGGAACAAGGCTGTAAGAAGCTGCTGGCAGGCTACTCCCAGCCCAGCCACGGTGCCGGCTGTGTACCTTTAAGCTGGAGCCTAAACACAGGATTGTGTCTGCTTTGCTGGCAGCCTCGGTGGCTGCTTCCCAGTTCAGAGGCTGCCCCAGGGTCCCCCTCTCCCCAAAGTGCACGATGGTGTCCCGAAGCTGGGCCCCACACTTGTGGCAGACCCGTCCCGTCTGGTGCCGGTGCAGGGCAGTGCGCTCCGTCACGTCGAAAACCCGCAAATACTCCCTGTTGGGGGTGCAGGCTGTGCAGACCTGAGGGGGGAGGGCGCTGTGAGCGGGAGCCACTGGCCCGCTGGGCCTCCAAGTCCCAGGGGGAGTGCTCACTTCAATGTACATGTTCCCATGGAGCTCCGAGATGGCCGAGCGCGGCAGCCCGCTCCGCAGATGCAGCCCGTCGCAGTTCTGGGACACCACATGCTGCACCTGCGGGAGGCGGTCGGCGGAGGGCATGGGAAGCAGCACCCAGCAGACCCACCGGCCTGGCCTGAGTCCAGCCCAGCACCCCCAAACCAGGGCCAACTCCAACCTCACACGAAGCCTCAAAAGCAAGACCAGGGCAGCAGGCTGGTCCGAGCAGAGCTCAGGAGGGCCCGCCCCTGACAAGCTGGACATACTGGGAGTGGCCAGGAGGGTGAACCTCGGCTGGAAGGGGCTCAAGTTCAGGCTGATGTCCTCTTGGGTCACTGTTTCAGGTCCCTGAAGGCCCAGGAGGATCGAGCCTTTCCCACTTGGTTGGAGGTGCTCAGCAGAGGGTCTACAGAGGTTTCCTATGAGTTCTATCTGTGACGACTCGGAGGGGAAGCTGCCCTCTTGGAGAGGAAGCACGGGAGAATTAGAGGGAGGCTCAAATCAGGACTCTAAACTGCTTGGTGGGCGCTCATCACGGGAGTCCACTGGCCAACAGAAGTAGGATGCAGTTGCCACTGGGGCACCAAGGTGATGCCCCAGGTCCCATGCTGTGGACACAGCAAGCACTCCAGCTAGCCAAACAGGGCTCTTACCAGCTTCTGCTCGTGTAAGCGGGCGATGCTCATATGGGTGAGGGTTGGCTCAGCCTCACTCAGGTCGGCAGCACTGCCAGGTGGAAGGGAGCACAGGTGAAGGGAGCTTCGCGGTCAGACCCCTGCTGCCCTGCTCACCTTGGTGGGAAGGTTGTGTAGGCTGCTTACCTAACGCTTCTCCCTTTCTGAAGCAGCGTCCACACTCCATTAGGACCCCGGTAATCTGGAATAGAAGCTGCCTGCACGTTCAGAAAGAAGAGAAGCCCAGAGAAAAGGCATCACGGTAGGGACTGGCAGAATTCCCAAGGACAGAAAGCAAATGTTTCACCCAACATGTTGCAGGCTGACCCACAGGCTCGGCATTTCGTAGTCGCACCTGCCTGAACCCAGATGGAGAATACCCCACGCGGCTCCTTCCCTCTGCCTGGACGCCCTTCCACCGGGTCCAGCTCCTCCTTCCAGCCCTGCTTCCTCTGGGAGCCTCTCCAACACCCAGTACAGCCTGGCTCTGCAGCCACGCCTGTCCTCCACACCGAGGCTGGGGGACTGGTCAGCCTCCCCTGTGTCCCCCCTCGGCCTAGTCAGCACTCAAGAAAGGTGCAGCAGATGGTGATCCCCTGGGTGGGATCCCTCCTCTGTCCAGATTCTTCCGTCCTGATGCTGCTTCCTGCCCTACTTCCACAACGACATGCCAGCCTCTCCAGGTGAGATGAACACCACTGACTTTCCCAAGTTCCCAATCCCGTGAAACAAAGCCACCCAAGAGAAAGAGAGCGCGCGTGTGCCAGGATCCAGGAGCTCTGTGGAGCGCTGTCTCCTCCCTGCTGCTTAAGCTCAGAAAAGCGCCCACCCTGACCCGTGGTTCGGACTCACATCAGAAAGGGGAGCCCAAACATCAACACTCAGAGCAAGTCAGTGGCAGCACACACCTTTAAGTAGCCCCCGAAGCTCTTTAAGAGGTAATATTACTGCTTTTAAATAACCGCATGATGGGAGTTCACCTGTGAACAGGGAGGGAGAAGACCAGACTGCCAGGCTTCAGGGGTTCGTAAGTTATAGCAGTCAGTGTACCTGACACATTCTAGGCACGGGGCCTCTGCCATCATCCCTGTCCGTTCTCACCTTCCCCTGTAAAATCTCACCCACACTTCCAGGCCCAGACTCAGTGTCACCTCCTACAAAAACCCAGTGAGGATGGACCCCCCAGCTCTGCGACCACAGGGGTGTGTCTGGACTTCTATTCTTGACCTCACACAAGCTACACGCTCACATGCCTCGTCTCACCTGTGGGCTTCTCCAGGATGGAGATCCAGTGTTCCCCTCTGCTGGGCCTGCATGCGGGGCGCACTCAACACACCCCCATCAGTTAGACACATAATGTGCCACCCACACTGTCAAAGCAGGTCATGCGTATTCCACGGCCTAGGACAGCTGCTCAGCGGAACCTTTCGAAGCCCACACATTTCTCTTCTTTCCCGGGTGTACTCTAACTCTTACTGCCTTGCTTTTTACTTACCTTCCTCCAACATTCAGAAAACCAATGAATGGGAATCAGGACACAGTTTGGGGCTTACCGCTGCCCACACGACTTTGGGATAGTAAATTAACCTCCTTAGCTTTAAATGAGGAGGTGCCTGCAAGAACTAAGCTATCATGTCCCGTTTTTATTACTCTTCCTTTCTTGTCTCAAACTGGATGTAACACAGACTTCAATCCTGTAGACATGTTTATCCACTTAATGAGCTTTCAAATTGAGTCATTTCCAGCTTCTCTAAGAAGGGAAAGAACCTCAGAGCTGCTTTTGAAGTGAGTTTTTTTGCGACTCACTAGTTTTACTCAATTTAGAGGGGCGTGCTCAGTCCTTGGGTCAGACACCCATGGAGGCCTCCCTCCCCCACCCGCGTCCAGGCGGTCCGGGGTTCATCCGGACCCAGGAGTCGACCCGGGTGCGCGGCCGTTCACGCCTCGCCTTCCTACCGTGCTGATTCCCGCGCCAGTGTAGACGACCAGGTACTTGGCGTTCCGCACGGCGGCGGCCAGCTCCCGGACTTTTCTCCGCAGCTCCTCCGGGTCGTCGCACACCTGCCGAGACGCCCAGCCCGGTCGTAAGCCCCGCCCCGCCCCCTACCCAGCGAGAGGCCAGGAAGACCCGGGCGCCGCGCGGGACTCGCCTCCTCCTGCCGCCGCTTCAGGCCCTCGCGCCGCCTGCTCCGGCCCTGCAACTCGGTCACCAGGTCCTCGCTCTCGGCCAGGAGCCGGCCCTCCTCTGCGCTGCGCTCGGCCGCCGCCTTCCTCAGGATGCGCGACACCTGCGGGCGCCGGGCAGGTGGTGAGGGCGACGCGAGCCGGGGGCGCGGGGCGGGGCAAGAGGTGACATACCTGGCGGAGGCGCTCCCGCTGCTGCTCCTCCCGCAGCCTCCGGACCCGCTCGGCCGCCTTGCGCTCCGACCGGCTCAGACCCCCGGCTGCCATCGCTCCCGAGGAGAGCCGCGCTTCCGCTTCCGCCTCCCAGCAGGCAGCGCGCCGGCACATGCGCGCGAGGCCCCGCCCCGCCCTTCCGGCCCCGCCCGTGCCGCCCCAATTTAAGCACCTGCCAAGTCTCTTTAAAAGGTGTTTATTGATCATATACAAAATAAAGAAAACCTTATATATCACAAACATACACTATGTACAGCAATAAATACCCGGGGCCCGGCCCAGTGCCGCCCCTCCTGGACAATAATTTAGCAATAAATACTGCACAGGGCAGGGTGGGCGGCGAAGCCGGCCGCCCCAGGGAGGCCCCTCCCCACCTGGACCTTCAACAATCCCCGCCGCCGGGCAGATCCCAGGATACCCCCCAGCTCCCCCTGACTTCAGCCCTAGGCAGGACAGGCAGGGTCTGATCAACTCTGCCTGGAACCACCCTCTCGGCGCCAGGAGAGCAGCAGAGCTGGACACACTGGGCAGCCCTTGTCCTGTTGCCCTAAGATGCCAGGAGAAGGCTTTCTGTACCCACTCCCGTTTGGTTAAAGGCTTCCGGGACTAGCAGATTGAGGGGATGGGAAGAAGGGAGGTGCTGGGACACGAGGTTGCTGGAAGGGTCGCTCCTCCTAGTTCGCTGGGGACACCCACCTACCCAGACGGAGTGGAAATGTATGCGACTGGCCCAACAGGTGCAGCGCACACCCAGGACAGGCGAGAAGCAGGGCCGGCCGTCAGTCTCAAGGGCACGCCCCTGCCTGGGTGTCCTCCGCTCTCTGTCCCCGTCTGCTCCAAAACCAGACAGCCAACAGGAAGGCAAAAACGCGCCAAAAAGAATTATTCAGTGGCTTCTGGGGAAAAAAATCGTTAATGTGTTGGTTCCTTTTACCAAACCACAGCCTAAAAAAGTAACTTACAAGATCCCAGAGCGGAAACAGCGCTGCAGCCTGTGGCTCAGGCTTTCCAGCTGTGGACGGGAGCTCTGGCCAGGCGGCCACCCCAGAGATGGAGGCAGCGGGAACCGGATGGGGCCTGACCACCCGTCCAAAAGCAGGCTAGAGATCAGCGCTGTGGGCCGGGCACTGACCACCGAGGCTGCTGCTGACAGTCAGGGTTGTGCACACAGACCGGAAGCGTGGATCAACAGGAAAGCCCTTGTCAGAAACCAGCACACCTCCCAGCTGCCACATCTTCCCACCGTACAAAGGGCGGTGCCACTGGAGCGGCAGCCAGGGGCTGTGGGGAGTTCTCCCTGGGGCCATACTCTGGAAAGGAGCTGACCTGTTCCCCCAGGGCTCTCTGGAATTTAAGTGTCCATGTTGGGATAGGGAGGGGTTGGGCGAGGGCACGGTGGGAGCGGAAGGTGCACGTTGTGGTTTACTTAGCAGACAAGTTTGGGAGACTTGGCTTTGGCCGAAGCCCTCGACTTGCTGTGTCAGAAAAGTGGAGGGGAGAGAGGGGACACAACACCCTCACAGTAGGAAAACCGAATTAACAAGAATCGGAAAGACACCAACCAGTCACATGTGGACAGTCTACTGTCAAGAAACCAAGGTGAAGGGAAAGGAGTGGAGGGCCCCTGCAGGGCTGGCTTGATGGGAACTGGATGCTCCCCCAGATCCAAGGAGCAGTTGCTCCAAATCCAGAAACCCTGAAAGGAACCATGGCCTCACTAACTCCAGAAGCTTCTTCTGTAAACCAAACCAAGGCCTTGCAATGTGTGTTCAGCACATGCCTACCCTCAAGCCCTCCTCTCACCTTCCTCACCCACCTCCTCTCTCCACTCTCCAGGTCTACAGCCTGGTAGGGGTGTGTCGAAATGGACAACCACCTCCCAGCCAGGGCAAATGTGGGGACTGTAGATGGACACAGAGGGTCTGTCCCTCCCACCGCCAGGGCAGAACATGACCTCTCTCTAGGGACTGTTACGATGCAATTCCAACTCACTGCTGCTACAACCATCGACAACTCTCGTCTGGAGCCTACGAAACAGGCAGACTGGAGGGGGAGGAAGCTACTGTGTGATCTGGAGTCAACAGTCAAAATCTCCATTGCAGGCTCACCCCGGTACAACCAGGAATGTCTCTGAGCATTTAGGGCCCACAGAAGCCCATCGAAATGGCAGAAGTTGACAGCACGTGCTGCTCCCATCCCATGGGCACACTGGGTCAAACTCTGGGATGAAAATCCTGCTGCCCACGAGGTTAAACCCTGCCAGGCAGCACTGATGCAGTTCTGTGCTTTTCAGGGGGTCAGGGCCCCCAGAGAAGCCAACCTGCAACCCCAAGGAGAGGCCAAGTGAGGCCCATGTAGCCAGAGATAGGGCACTAGCCTCTTGGGGGGACACCATAGGCAGCCCCTGTCATGTGCCTATGAGGAGCCTCCCGAGACAGGTCTGGGAGACTGGCTGCCTCTGCTGAGTGGCCAGGATGGTGGGGAGGGTGGGCTCAGCCCAAGAGAAGCACCTCCATAAGCTGGGCAGTGGATCCCTGGAAGACACAGACCCAAAGGGAGGCGGAAGAATGCCCAACGCCGAGAGCTGCCAGCACATTCAGGGGCAAGGAGGGGCAGGACTGGCCCTGGACACTAGCCCTTGTCTGGCACTGGTGGAGACCTCCAGCCCCTCAAACAGGCAGAAAGGACCACCCCAGGTGGGCCCCGAAACCACCTGGGAAGTTTTGCCTGGGAAGCACCACCCGCAGCATGGAAACAGTCCTGTGACAACTGGGCAGCAGGTCTCGCAACCCCATGTGGGCCCCTGGGGTTCCCCTGCTGAAGCCCATGTGAAGCCTAGAGGAACAAAGCTGGGGTTGGTGGCCAGAGCCCAAGCACGGTGACTGGACACCAGAAGGAAGACGGCTGGGGCAGTGTGGCCGTGGCCCCGTGGGCACCCACAGTGACTCCTTGGTCCCTGCAAATCCCCCACCCAGGGCCAGAGACGGTGGGCATGGAAGCAGCATGGGGAGCCCCTGGGGTGGCCCCCAGTTTCGCCTACCCTGCCAGTGGATCAGCCCAAGCCTGAGACACACATGCGAAGCCAAGGGTCAAGAGAGAGCAGGGGTGGGAGCGGCAGAGCCCGAATCTGACCTCCTGGGGGCCTGGGGGCAGGCGCCCAGGCAGAAGAGGCCAGACTGGTGGGCACCGAACCCCCCAGCTCTGCTGCAGCAGGTACTGCCTGGCACCCCAGCCTGAGCCTGGCAAGCCAGCAGAAGCAAAACACAACCAAATCCAAAACAAACACGGGAAAACAGATACAAGAAGTGACACCCACAGGTCAAAGGTCACCAGAAGCACCAGCACGTGACGCTGCACAACACCTCACCAGGCACGGACAACACCACTGCACCGGCAGGGGACAGGAGACGGAAGCAGGAAGGGCAAAGGAGTAAGTCACTTTCGGTACAATTGCAAAAAGAGAGAGCAAAGAGGACGTCAGGACGTGCCTTCTGGTCGCTCGCGGCTTGGCTTTTTTTTTTGTCTTTTTTTAAACTAAGTTTTATAAATAACATCTGATAACTCTGTGTATATAAAAACTAAACTCCAACAGCCACAAAGACTTGTCTGTAAGTTTACAAGAAAGGGATTTTTTTTTCTTTTTTTAAACTAGCAGTTTCTATTATACTTTCTTCCCTTTTCCATTTATATGGTCAAATGTTCTTGCTTGTTTTTTTTTTTAAAAAGACAGTTTTATAAATACTCTGCAGTTCTTTTTTTTTTTCTTTAGCTTTTAAACATATAATTTAATAACTTCGTAAAAGGAACTTCTCTCTTTTAAATAAAGGGCTATGTAACCACACAAGTAGGTCATGTAAACAGTGACACGGGACCCATCGTAGGACACTGGACACACCCTTCACGTACGCTCACAACCAGTGGTTTGGTCTTGTTCAGTGCAATGCGTCAGGCGAGCGTGCTGAGGCCCTGGGCCCACAGCCGCACGACGCCCCGTCCCCCCAGCACCTAGGCTGGTGGCCTGCCTGTCCAGGGTCCTCGAGGACATCCTCTTCAGAGCAGAGCCCATCTATGCCACTGGCCGATCTGTGAACTACCCAGGCCCCTGCCAGCCGGGCAGCCGCCAGGGCCTATGGGCCACTTGGCCTAGCACGCTCCCTGCTCAGGGATCCCCGAGCCCCTAGTGTTTGCTCGATCTTTCTGTCCATTCACACAGGGCCACTCTGGACTCCAAGCCTACATGGCCTTGGTATAAAGGGGGCTGGGGCGGCCCCACGTCACCACCGAACTGACCAATCCCAACATACAAAACACATGATGACAACGACGAGATCAAGGGGCTCAGCCCAGCGCCCCTGGGGTGCAGGTTGTGCTTTGCAGGGAAGGAAGGAGGTAGGAAAGGAAGAGGGGAGGGGAGAGGAGGAAGAGGGGGACAGGGCTGCCGAATTCGCCATGCGCCTAGTGGCCCCTCGAAGACCCGCCTGGGCAAGCATACGTCCCTACGACCGGGCGTCCGTCTTGGACTTGACTATCGTGATGACGCTGGTGGCGGCCACCTTGCCGGGGACGAGGGGCCCCAGGCCGGCAGTAAGGGGGCCCCGAGCTGGCGCCACGGGGCTGCGGGCCACGGTCCTGGCGAAATTCTGCAGGGCCTCGTACTTGGAGCGCAGCGCGTCCAGCTCCAGCTTCATGCTGGCGTTCTCGGACGCCAGCTTCTCCACCTCCTGCTGCAGCTCCGCCTTCTGCTTCTCCAGCTCCTCCTTCTGCGTCACGCGCTTCACACGGCAGCTGGCGGCGTAGCCGCGGTTCTTGAGTGTGCGCCGGCGCTGCTTCAGCTGGATGATCTCCTCCTTGGACAGGCCCCGCAGGTGCTGGTTCAGCTCCCGCACCGACATGGTCACCAGCTCCTCATCGGTCAGGCTGGTGCCATTCTCGCCCGGCTCCCGCTTCACCTGGGGACGGCATAGCGCACGAGGTCACGGGCTGATGGGCCGCCCATCCCTGTGCCACCGCAGCCCCGAGATGCGGCCCGCCCTGTCTGCTCACCTTCAAGGCCTTGTTTCCTTTATTGGGGGTCGTCATAACCCGGGGGCACAGCAAGCAGGCACTCTGCGAGACAGGGAGCAGAGGTCAGGACCCTGGAGAACACCCCCCTTTCCCTCTTCACCCTGAGTCACGCCCCTCACCTGCCCATTCCTGATACCTGGCCTCAGGACCACCCTTCTGCCTTGCCTCTCCTGAGCTGGGCTGCTCCAGGTCTACCCCGCCCTAGGGAACCAGATTGGGGGGGGGCAGGAGGGTTGGGGGGTGGGAAGGGGAACTGAAGGGCTGTTAGGGAGGCAGAGGCAAGAAAAGGGGCTGGGGGCGAGATTAGAAGGATGCGGGAGGGGCCAGCCTAGAAGGAAGCCTGGAGCTTTAAAAATAACCCCAATGCGCACCCCAGAGCCCCAGAGCGGCTGTTCTTGGCGAGTCATGCTGACTCAGCACATTGCTCCCGCTCACTCACTGGCCTGGCACTCCCCAGGCTGCCGGCCAACACAGCCCCAGGGGACCAGCAGCCAGAGCAGAAAGCTGCCAGGGCCAGAAAGGCCAGCCGGCCAACAGCAGGTGAGGGCCAGGGCCAGCGACCCTTCGCGCGACTCCCATCCCCTATAGCCACCTGCCCTAGCACGGCCTGAGACAAAGCCCTGCTCCTGTGAAGGCTTAGGGGGCCATCCCCACTGGGGACTCGGGGAGAGGGAGGATGTGGGGGAGTCCTGATTCTCTCAGACTTCTCACTTTGAAGAGTGGCAAGTGGGTCCTCCAACTAGCTCTGGCACAAGTCCCCCCGCCCTCCAGGTGGATGGCACTTTGGCCCTCGGTGAGCCTCGGCTGCGGCTGATGGAGTAACCATCCTGTGGCTTTGGGTTGCAGCATCTCATGCCCCTGCCCTCCCTGTCCAGGGTATTTCACAAGAGCTCCCACAATCAGCCACCCCAGGGGCCTGCTCATCGCCTTCTTGGCCAAAGATGGCCCTCTAGCACCCTGCCCAGGGTCAGCACCCACAGGGCCCCCTCCTACCCACCTGGTCACCATTCCCACACCCACCCTCACTTTCTGCTTCCTGAAGCCCCACCAAAAACATTTTTGTGCACCTAGTCCTAGGATTCTGGGGATGATAGCCACCGCCACACCCTGCCTCCCCCTTCCAGGTTGGATGCAGGGCTAAGACGGGCTGCGCTCTCCCTCCTGGGGAACACAAGCACTTCAGGTAACTCTGGCCCAGGACACCTTCTTACCCTCACGGGAGCTAAAGTGTAGGCTGGGGAGGTAGAGGCACGAGTGGGCTACCGTGGGCTCCTGGGTAGACAGCACCTACCCAGCCTTGCACCAGGAGGCGAGGCTGCAGGCAAGGAGGCCACAGGCGTCTCCCCACAATCAGGCCACCCAGGGTCTCAGGCAGGCCTGAAGCTCCAGCACCCAGTTCTTCCAGAGCAGAGGCTAAGCAGACCACAGCTGGAGGTGAGAAGGTCCTCAGAGCCCCATGCCCAGCCTGGGCCAGGCCCTCATGGCAGAGCACAAGCTGGGGTGCAGGGGCACGACTCTGGGTCCTACCACTGTTGGCCCAAAGGAAAGGCCTCAGCACCAGCTTTCCCACCCCCATGCTCCCTCCACCCCTGACTGCTGAGCACAGCGGTGACTTCCTGAAGAGATCACACAGAAAAGTGCTTCCTCAACAGATTTCACCCTCCGCAGAAGGCCTGAACTCAGCACAGTGCAGCCAATTGCCTCCTAATCAAAGGTGTGTGTGAGCACAAGGGGGAGGGGCAGTGTCAGGAAAGCCAGCGCTCCAGCCTCCTGGCCTGGCCTCACCCAGCAGATACACACACTGATGGGGCAGAGACAGCCTTTGGAGATGGGATGGCATGGGGATGATGGCTCAGGGCACCCCTAGAAGCCAGGCGGAGGGGATTCTAGAGGCCAAATCGAGGAGAAGCTGCCCCCCCACAGCCCTCCTCCCCACCCTGAAGGCTGGACTAGAGCTAGGGCTCAGTCATGCTCCCTCCTCAGCTCCCCCACAGGCTGAGTCCACCTTGTGGAGAAGGCCCAAATCCACCAAGGTACCTTGGACCACCCACTCAGGCCGGGAGCCCATCAGGAAGGCGCAAGAGGTCTGGGCAGCTCCAGCCCCTTCCCCTGGGTCCGAACTCCAGGGCATGAACACGAGGCAAAGGCAAGACAGCCAGCCTCTGCTCTTTGTCCTGGCCTGCAAACCCCAGCGGCCAAACCTCCCAGGCAGGCATGGTCTTGGGCACTCTGGCACCCCAACCTAGCCGGGCCTCACTCCCGCCCTGCCCATCAGACCACCTCCTCCAGAAGCCCCCAGCCACTAAAAGCCACTCTGAAAAAAAAAATCTAAAACTTAATTTCCACTGAAGTGTAATGTACTGAGAAGACTTAATGACACACCGCTCCAGGAATCTGCACTTTCCTAGGGCATAAAATTCCAGCCAAAGGAGCAGCTGAAGCGTTAAAACATCTGGCATCACTAAGCCCAGGTGTGTGTGTGTGTGAATCTCTGAGGACAAACCACAATGCCAGCCTAACCTAGCCGTGAACCCTAGGCAAGAAGGGTCAGCTCTGGTCTAGATGAAACGCTGCCCAACCCCTTGAGCCAGGAATCACCCATATACCCAGGAGAGGTGGCCCAGGCCATACCACCAAGTGGTGATTTCCCCATAGTCCCCATCACCTGGCCCAAAACCCATCGGGGCCACGTTCTCTGCTAACCTGCATAACATTGAGCCCCAACCTCCAGCGAGACAACTTGGGGTGAGTGGGAACTGCACTCACCCACCCCAGCCCACCTGCTGTGCTCTAAGGCTAGGCACCCTCCAAGCTACTACCATCCACGGCCTCAACCCAGACCCCAAGGCTGGGCTGCAAAGAGGGGCAGGGACTGCTCACCAGACACCTCGGTCCCCAGTGTCCAAGTCCTGCTGCCTCCTCTCATTTGCAGTTTTCTGGCAGAGCTGTGCCTGCTTGCCCCCTGCCCTGTCCACTGTCACCCAGGACTCCAGTACAGTCGGTACTCCGCTGGGCTCTTCCGAGGAGCTCTGGCTCCTGGCTCGACCGCACCCTTTGCTCCCGCCACTCCCGTTGCCCCTCCTTCCAGGAGGCCCCACTGCCTCCCTCTCTGGCCTGTGTACCCCTCTTCCCTGCCCAGGGGCACCCAGCCTGGCGGACCGGACCAGTCACAGGGAAAGCCTGCTTCCCGCCCCTTAGCACGGCCCCCCTAAGCTCCTCCCCTCCTCTCGCTCAGAAAACTATTTCCCGGTTTGGGGAACTGTCCCAGCCGTGGGTCGGGGACCAGCCGCCTGAGAAAAGCATGCCTGGGAGCGGATGGACAGGCCAAGGGCTTCACCTTCTACCGCGCCGTGGCCCCTCCAGTTCCTCACCACCCTGCCTTCAACTCGCACCTCGGCCCAAACTTAAAAAGCCGCCCCAGCCCCTGGGCCTGGCTCCTTCCTCATGTCCCCACGGTTCCCTTCCACCCCTCATTTCCCGGCCTTTCAGGCCCCAGGCCCCTAGCTCAGATCCCCCCCGAGCACCGGGATGAGCATCGAGTGACCTCATGCTGATGACTCAGCAAGTCTCCCTCGGGGCTCTGGCCCGCGTGTGACGGAGCGAAAGCGACGCGAGCAGGGTCTTCCCAGCGCCCCCACGCCAGTCCTCCCCGAGCCCGCCAAGGACCCCTGCGCCCGGGGAGGCGGCGACAGACACCTGATGAATCAGCAGCTCGGGCCGGGGCCGCCGGGCTCCTCCGCGGAGCCCTGGGCGCCCAGTTCGACCCCACCCTTTCCTCCCGCCGCCCCGGCCGCCCCTCCCTCCACTGAGCGAGCCCCGCGCACGCCCCGCCCGCCCTTCGCCAACCCCGCGGCCCACCCCCAGAACCCGGGTGCGGGGGCCAGCAGCGCCCTGCCCGACGGGGAAATCGAGGCACGGGCCACCAGCGGCGCGCGGGGCAGACCCGAACCCAGGAGCGCCCGGCCCGCGCCGCACTCACCCACCACACTGCGGGCCCGG